CATCCCGCCTCCCGTCACGGCACTTCACATTCGATGTAGGGGATGTCGCTGTAGCGGCTGTCCACCTCCAGCCACTGCTGCACGGCCCGGGACACGATCTCCTCCGACAGCCGCTGAGCGTACTCCAGCAGAACCGGGTTGACCTGAGGAGAGTTCTCCTCTGAGCCCACCAAGTAGGCCCTCTCGCCTTTCGTCTTCCTCCTTTTCTCGTCCGCCCTCTCCGTAGAGTTAGCGTGTTGGGAGGCGGCCTCGGTCCTTTTGGATTTGACACACCCCATGTTCTGGAGAGATGGATCATTGATTCACTTTAACAAAGTTCTGCCTTTTTTGACTATCAAGTTCCTGTCATCCACTTCTAKCCATGTCTGAAGTCCAGAGTGAGACAGTCAGGAGGTTTGTACCATCTGAATGTTTAGGAGGACCATCCAGGAAAAACGCTGCCCCATCTCATCTTCACCTGACCTGCAGACAGAAAACAGAAAGAGTTTCAGTCATATACAGTATTTTCATCAGGAAGATTAAACACAGAACTGTCTACTTCCTGAGCCATACAATGGAACACAGAACCTGTCTACTTCCTGAGCCATACAATGGAACACAGAACCTGTATACCTCCTGAAACATACGACGGAAAACAGAACACATCTACTTCCTGAGCAGTACCATAAAACACAGAACCTGTCTACTTCCTGAGCCATACAATGGAACACAGAACCTGTCTACTTCCTTAACTGTACAACAAAACATGTCTACTTACTGAGCTGTACAGCCGAACAGAGAACCCATCTAATTTCTGAGTGATATGACAGAACATGTCTACTTCCTGAACAGTACGACAGAACAGAGAAAGCATCTACTACCTGAGCTATACGATGGAACATGTCTACTTCCTGAGCTGTACGATGGAACATGTCTACTTCCAGAGTGATACAATGGAACATGTCTACTTCCTGAGCCATATGATGGAACATGTCTACTGCCTGAGCTGTATGATGGAACATATCTTCTTCCTGAGCTGTATGATGGAAAATGTCTACTTCCTGAGCCGTATGATGGAACATGTCTACTTCCTGAGCTGTATGATGGAACATGTCTTCTTCCTGAGCTGTATGATGGAAAATGTCTACTTCCTGAGCCGTATGATGGAACATGTCTACTTCCTGAGCCGTATGATGGAACATGTCTTCTTTCTGAGATGTACAATGGAACATGTCTACTTCCTGAGC